AACTTGGCTCATAGAAGCTTTTGCTTAGAAGCAGTAGACTAATGAAATAGACTGAGCGCAAATTGAAGCCACTGGGTGCACAGATTAACAGTATTCTAATGAAGACAAAAGAGAAAAAGATGATCTTGGAGACCAGTTGGGAAAAGGAGAAAATGCGATGCAGAAGAGGAGAAAGAAGCAATTAATGAAGAGCACAAAACCCATGAAACTTTAGAGACTGTTTAAAACGGTTCAATTTTTTTTAAGATTTAATGCGATTTAGTATCGAATTACTGTTTGCCAGAGTGTCGCAATATTATTGTGTTTAAAAGCTCGCTTAAAGGACCAGTCCAAGTTTGCGCCCTGTTTCATATCGGTTTACCAAAATGCGCCCCTTCTAAATATACATAAGCGGTACACCCCATTGCGTCCTGCTACAGCTTAAACCCCAATGAACCAAGAGGGCCCTTTGATGTTCTTAAAGCCCTATTAAATTTTCACCTTTCCATACTCATCCTAACGCATGTAAAGACATCGCCTCTAATTTTAGCCGCCCCCCAGGAGGGCTTGGGGCCGTATGTGGGGTGTGAAATTCATAAGTTTCCGGCATAAACTGTGAGCAATCGACGAGGCGAACCTGATGGAATTATCCGGTTTTCCTCCTGTGTGAAGCAGAAGAGCATTAAATCTGCTGCTTTTTTGACCGTGGGTTATGAAAATGTGCATTAGCGACAAGCGATCGGTCAAAGACTGCCTGGGGCGCACTTCAAAGACATTTGCCGCTCTTTGGTCAATTTTCTCGCCAATCATTCGTCAAAGGGTGCGGAGCGGCAGAGATGGATGGATGGGAACGTTTTGTGTATGCGTGTTAATTTGCTCGTGCACTAATCACGGATGGAAATTAGGCGTGTGCGAATACTTGAAAGGACATCCAAGAGTTTACGTTTAAAAGGCACTGGATGGGTTTTACAGCTCTTTGGAGCAGAGCGAGCAGAAATCCCAAAGACTCGAGTGGGCTTTTTCAATCTGCACAAATTCTCGCATTAAATTAGAGCCCTCTCGCCTATCGCCCTCATACACGACCCTCATATAATACATTTCATGCAACCTAATAAGCTAAATCTTGTTTCTAGCTTAACACTGACACACTTTCCCAACTGGCGGGGCCGCTTTTCCCTGGAGGAAATATGGACGGTGTCGACTACGAAGTTTTATCACGTTGAGAGTCGCTGATAAACTGGCAGGCTCCATCATTTTTCAACGGCCCATAAAATATTACTGTTCCTAAACCTTTTGTTGGATAATCGGTCGCTTTTCATCACTGCACACGGAGAAACCCTCCGAATTTGCTTGGAAATTACGGTAAAATTTGATTTCTCAATTGTGTTCCTCAAAGCTTAAATTTTCACCATTTTCAGCAGATCTTAGTATGAATCTTTTCACTGAATTGCTGCGATTTCGTCTTGAATTAGGCTTGAATCTAAGCTCCTGATAGCTTGATATCACCAATTTTGCCATTTTTTTGCAAAACCACAATAACCGAAAAAAAATGGTGTTTTCGAATTTCTAACGTAACGTTGACTGTTGAGCAGTTAAATAAAATTCTTCTTTTTCGAAAACTTCAGATTTTGCCATTAATAGGAACATCATTCGGAAATAAAATAGAATCCAGTCTGTGATTATTTTATTGCTGTGTTTTTGTTATTATTATCATTAGGTCTGGGTAACACTGTGTTGAGTTGCGCTATTGAGTCGTTGCCGCTCTATGAGTTACCGAGTTATGACTCATCGGTTAATGAGTTACGAGTCATTGATTAAAGCGGATTGAAGTTTTACGAAGCCCGAGACTGGAATTTTCACATCCAAAAAAGTTATCAACATTTTTTCTGAGTAACGTTTTACTACTTTGTTCAGGCATCTAAAAAAAGTCATCTAAATTTGCCCAGCAACAGAACTGAATGCAAGAGCAAGAAAACTGAAACTGAGAAGAAAAATCGATCTATTCATTTTTTGCATAAAAGATTTTCAGTATTTTACACAAAACGTTTTTGTGTTTAGGGACAGTGTTTTTTAGAAATATTGAACTAAAAGTGAAGAAACCCCACTTTTCAAGAGTTTTGCAAATAAATTATTATAAACTCGCTTTTTAAGTTTAATAATTATTGGGGTTTTATCCATAATTCGAAGCTGCAAAAAGTTTTCCAAAAAGTTTTGCTACGCGGTTAAGGAGGCGAGTGTTCCAATAAAATGTATCTTTTCAATAATAAGTAAAACTAAAAAATGATGCGATTTTTGCGTAGAAAGAATTGCTTAATAGAAACTTTGTTAAAACTGGAATGACCTGAAAATTTAAAAGAACTTTAAAAATTGTCATAGCAATGAGGGTGGCGAATTTTGCAAATAATTTTTGCTGTCTGGTCGTTTTTTCAAGATAATCTTAATTACTTTCGATAAAAAACTGAATAAGATTATTAGGTTGTTGGGCCAAATTCAAAGCTGAAATGGGTTTACTAAAGTGTCGTGCAAACCGATGAATGAGGCAAATTTTCTAGAAAAATCTTCATTTTTGGCTGAAAAGACCCCATTATTGTCAGAAAAGAAGAAAATCATCAGAAAATAATGGTTTTTTGCGTTTTCGATTAAAAACTTTTAGTTTTGTGATCGGTTTTGGAGAAAACCTTAATGGTTTTCGGGGAAAGACGGGAGGAATTTATTTTCGTTTTTGTCTAGAATTCGACGCTGAAAAAAGTTTTGTAAAATTTTTACAAAGCTATAAATTTCTCTTGTAAATTTTCGCCCCCATTTTAAGACCTCCAGATCGATCGAGATCAGTGTTTTGAAGTGAAACTCTTCCAAATAGAGTAGAGTAGAAAATAAAGCAAAAAAAATCAGTCAAAACTACAGTCTTCATAGGTATGGAGATGACGAGAATTCGAAATAATGTGTTATAAACTTTCGCTTATTCCGTTCGTTTTTGATAGAAAATTAGTTGATTTTTGTTCCAAATTCGAAGCTGGAAAGGGATTTCAGAAAATTTTCAGAAGAATTTTAGAAAATTGAGAATTTAGAAGAAGGAGTAACTTGGCTAAAACTCGAAAATTCTGAAATTTCGAAGAAATTTTAAAAATATTATTAATAAATGGCCCTTAAAATAAATCTAAAAACAGCTTTAAAAAGTCATGAAAATTTTCCCAACAACCGAACTGAGTTACTGCGCCGGTACGTTGGGTTGGCGCACCAAGCCATTCGCGCCGCACTGCGCCAACTCCTAAAAATTAACTGTGTTACCCAGACCTAATTATCATTGTTCTTATAGAATGAAGATTATTTCAATTCACGCTTTATTATTTGCCGAAAACTGGCAAATTTTAGACAAAATTTCCCTCGGTTTGGTTGCTGTTGTATCAAAGTTTATTTGCAATGATTAATTTAGCGTCAAACCCGCAAGAACTGATTGGAGCGCAAAGAGTGATTAACTGGGAAAATTAGAGAAATTTTGGGCGGCAAAAGATTTTTCATTGAGATTCGAAGGAATAGTGGATTGTTATTAAAATATGCGTTTGGCACTAAGGTTGTTAAGCGAAGTTTAAGCCAACAAAATGTATCAAAATAGTTAAGCTTCATCGGATATTGCTTGAAACTTTTACTTTCCATTCAGTGTCGTGCCCGACGGGCTCGGCACCACAAATCCATTGGAGTGTGGGGCAACTTTTAAGAGAAGTTCTAATATGTTTCGAACAAAAATATTTCGCAATTTTTGTAGTTCAATGCTCTGGTTTTTATTTAGAGCATTTACATGATTTTAAGCGGTAAACACTCTTGTAATTCTTTTAGCTGATACTGGAAACTAAAGATCGTTTTCTTCGAGGCCCAGAAACACGCTAATATTCACTTTGGCAAACAACCTGTCGATCCGAGAATTAGGTCAATAGTACACAACGTAGTCCGATCTATTCCCAATATTGCATAAGGCAAGCCCGATATTTGACCCAGTTATCATAAAGGGGGCTCCATAAAGAAGTGAAGAAACCATTATTCAAAGCGTCAACAATCCCCGGACCACAATAAACTGAAAATTACACCGACATTTCAGACCAGTTGGGGGTAATTTGTTTAGAGGTGTCTCGTTTCAAGTGCTTGCCGACTCTCAGCAAACTTTTCAGAGTCCACTTTTAACAAGTGCAAGTCGACGTGACCCAATTTTCCTCCCTCTTTCGTTTTCCACTCGCTGGCTCAATTTGAAAAATAGGATTATTAAAAATCGCTCATCATCATCGAGCTGATCGATTATCTTAATTCGTTTCCTCCACGGCCCTTCATTGCGAATACCTGCAATTTTCTAAGTTTTTTTTCAGAACTTGATCTGTTTTTCGATTTAACATTGGATGTTGAGATTTAAGGAGAATCGCGAGTATTCAGTGAAATTGTGTTAACGATTTGCGGCGCCACATCTGAAGATGCAAGCCACTGGTGCGCGCAAAACATCAGGATTAAATTGTTTTCCACCACAACTTAAGTCTAAAAATCTCACCAGTTTCATTTCGAGAAATTCTTTTCGGGTGCAAACTTGAACGGTTTTTAATTTACTTTAACTTTCTTTAATGTTGCACTTTTCGTGTAAAAACGCACCGACCGATCGTCTCACACCAGTCACCGATTTAGCGCAAATTAACAGCAAGAAAACATCCACTAAACCGCCATTCACACGATACATTTACGGACTGATAGCGAAAATGGCAATAAAGTGTGATACATTGAATTTGCTTAAACTACTTTGCCGCATTTGGCAGAGTTGTTTGCAGAAGGTCGATTTTTTCCATTACATGTACACGTTTTATTGTTGTTTGTCTCGCTTCGATTTATAACTTATTTTACTAATTAAGTGCAAACGAGCGACGCACGGTTGAAAATACTGGGGTTTTGTTTCCTTGTAACGCTACGACACTGACCTTTTCTCGACTAGCCGCTCGGCCAGTGCTGTAACCGAACTGTTTTATTAAGGGCTACTAATTCGCCAACAGTTTAAAGGAAAACATCATTTAATATACTGCAAAAAAAGTACACTAAACTCTAATGAGATTCCATCGAAACAATTATTCGAACCTACTCGCAATACTTAATGTAAAAATATAAAAAATGGACGGACTGTGTCCTGATAAGGGCACTTGTGAATATCGTCTGTAATTGGAATGTATAATTTCAAATTATCTATGCTTGCTAGTAAGCAGCAAAAAAGGTATTTAATTGACATTGCAAACCTGCATTCATGCTTCTGGCTTGCAACATCAATAAGTCGATTTAATAGGCACATTGAAGTGTGGCTCCTATTGTAAAACTACTAATAAGGCACAGCTGAGAATAGTGAGTGCGATTGTCGCAAAAATGGATCCACTGCCCGCATTGCAATCCACTATTCGTCGCGCCCGCATAAAGTCGCTGCCCAAATATACTGAGTAATAGCGCTGACTTGCAGGGATCACCTTCAGCTGCGTGGTGGCATCCTGGAAGATCAGATCGGAGTGCGGAGGATCCGACATGAACATGCTGAAGCTATTGAGAACTCAGCAGTTAGATCAGAAATGCATCGCTAGCATTAAAACCCACCTGAAATCGTCCCTAGTTTTCCTGCCGTAGAACGTCTGGGCGTACATGAACAGATTAATGTAGGCGTCGATTTGCGTCTCGTTATACCCGTACCCGCCTCTGGTTACAATCGCGTTCGACTTGATTTTCCCCAAGTTGCACTTTCTATACTCATTAGCCTCGGCTCTGGTTCCTTAAAGCAGCGCGTTAACACAAAAACCCGCCATCAAGCCAACACTGTTACCATCTGGGCAGAGCAGCTCAAAGTCCTCCATCAGATTGTCCCTCACCCACCATTCGCGCTTCTTTCCGCCGGTGTTTTCGAACACAGTGGTGTGCTTCACAAAGGCCACATCTCCTCCTCCTTCGACCAAACACCTAAACGCTCCGGTGTGGCCGTAGTAGTCTTCAGAAGCATCGCGCTTGCAATACCTGCAAAAATTGAGATTTCCAGTAGGAGCTAGAGGATGGAAAACGGGTTCAGGCACCTAAAGCTGGCGCCATGACATAAATCGCACATGTTATCGTAAGGAACTCCAGTGTTGTATTCGGTGCTGATGGCGCCCGGGACGCAACTTTTCGTGAAATATTCAGCGGCCGCTCGGATGCTGTTGCAACCGTACGATCTGATCCAGCCGTTGCTGATCAGGTAGGCCATCGGGTAAACCCAGCCGGCTGCAGTGTTTATTCCTCCATGGCAAGTGTTCTTTGCTGGAAAGTGATTATTTTGCTTCAAATCAATGGTCACATAACTGACAATTTGCACAAGCGAATTATTAGAGCGATTTTTCATATACTCTATTATCCTACTATTGTTACACAATTTATTAACATACTCTTTTTTAGGTTCATTTAGGTTCTTTTGATAACGATAGCAGAAAATAGCTATCGAAACGTCAAGGTAATTTTTCAAATTAATTTCTCTACTAATTGGAATTTTCTCTTACAGCTTGAGCCTAAGTGTGTCCCAGGATACCCTCTAGGTGATAGTTCTTGATAAATAATTCGTTCTTATTGTGAAATAGGAGCACTATTTATCAATCTGTAATAAAAGAGGTAAGGAAATTCTGTCTTTTCTAAAGACAAAAATTTTTGAGGCGAAATACCCAAAAAGAAGTTTGTAAAAAAATGAATCCGCCTCAACAATATAGAACTTATCTACAACTCGTATCTTTTATTACGAAATGATTATGAGTTGTCTTTTTAACTAAAAAAATTGGTCTGATCTAACTTACTTCTCAAGTACGTCAACTCTGTGTCGAGATCGGATTCTTTTGCAACCGCCACTACGTAGTAATCGGCGTCCTCTAAATTGTACACTTCGCTGATGAAAGGAATCAACTCGTAGTTGAGTCCCGCGGTATAAACATCGCTGGCATCTAGAACTGCTATATCCGCCGTACCTAGAATAACCAAGACTTTAACAAGACACGAGACTCATCAGACTCCTGCAAAAGGTAATTCGATATTGAATACGAATAAGCATCTTTTGAAACAAGTGGGTTTTCTGATCATCAGAACAGTGTAAGCGTTCAAGCAAACCACTTCTGAAGATGCAAGCCACACGTGCTTGCGAAACGTCAAGAAGAAATTCTACCGAACGACGGCCTAAAAACCCGAAAAACCCACTTGCTTCAAGGAATGGCCTCGAAAGTCTATCTCTTTTGATAAGCATCTTTTAATTTTATTAATGAATTAATTATTACGCCCTATTTAAGTGCACAATTCTGTGTGCTTTGCTCGTGACTAACCGTACCTACGTGCAGATAAACGTATGAATTTACGGAACTAATTCAGATAATGAAGATACGAACCTCCTCTAATCGCCTGCATGCAATGGATCTGAGAATGTCCCTTGTAGCAGTCGAGTTCGGGCTTCAAAAGCTGCGCCTTCAAAGCCGTCTGCAAGTAAAAATCAATAGAGATCCCTACGCTTTGAACGTTTGCAAGCCCTTACTCGCATTTTGACGCATTTGTTCTTTTCCTCGTCCGAGGTAACGCACATAGTCATGCGATTTACCGGGCATTTGCGTACTTCCATGATTATCTCGTGGGATTTGCCCAGGAAGGCTTCATAGGTCTGCAAGTTTTCTGGCACGGGAACAATGTCCCTGGCAGAATCCTGAAAAAATCAACACATAATTGATGAGTAGTCGCAGGTAAAGCGGCTCGTTTGCAACTAGTACTTGAAACAGCAGGTTTCCGTGTTCTCCGTATCGAGGCGTTGATTCGAACAGGTCAAAGTGTTCGTAATAAGTCCCATCAGTTCCTCCGCTATAATTCCTTTCGGGGCCATTTAAGGTGTTTCTCGTTTCGTAGTCGGGCCTGTACCAGCAAGCAAAAAGTAACTCGATTACTCCTTACGTAAACAACGAATCAATCAGAGTAGCGACTAGATTGCCATAAGAACTGACCCATCTTGAACGTAATTCTGCCTGCGGAACCTCTGAACATTTCTGCTATTGTATGGGTCATACTCCGGTTGATTCGGCCTGGCATTGTACCGGTCTTGAGTGGGAAGCAAGCGATTGCCGAAATTGTCGAGCTCCGGTTCCCGTTGATCTGGCGAGTCCAAATGTCTTGGGCCGTTCTTTCCATACCTAAAACCCGGTGAATCGTCGTCTCTTCCGTCCGCACCTCGCGATTTACCTTTTGGCGAATTCCTGCAGAAAGGCTTGAAACTTCTCGCGCGTTTCAAACGACACTGCCGATGACACAACGATGGCGTCCGAAGGCACCAAGCCCCAGTTGCAGTTTTCGAAATCGGATAAAGGCCGTCTACTCCCGTCTTTGCACAGTAAATCAAACTGTTCCTGTCGCACGCCGCCTAAAGAAATCCACGCCATTTTCATAAACTCTTCAAAAACAACGCGAGGAACTTACTAAACTCTTTGGTTTTAATCAGCTCTGGAACGGACGTGTGCTTCAAAAAGGCGACTTCGCCTGTCTCCAATAAACACCTGCAATTCAATAATAATTGTTTCCAGGGCTTGAATGGTAGCGGTCGACTATCTACCGAAAAGCCCCATTAAATCCTGCATATGGATCAGCATCTGTGCACCATTTTCCAGGAATAGAGCCCGTGCAGAGTCTGCACAGCTTGTCCGAATTATCCCCAATCGGGTTGTACTTATCAGTCAGGCAATTAACGGCGCACGATGGCCCGAAGAAGTTGCTGGCGGTTTTCACGTGATTGTTGCAGTCTTTGACGTCCATTATGCCCTGTTTCAGTAGCTAAAATAAAACTATTAAAGAGGGACATTTGTGGAAGTCGCCGCTCTTACTGTACTAATCGGCAGCATCCATCCAGCATACGTTTCAACGCCTGGAAAACATGCCTTTTTCCCTTTCAAATCCCTGATGGAAAGAACGTCGGTTAAGCTGCCCACTTTCACCACAGCCACTGCGTAGTAGTAGTTAAAACCTCCTAAAGAAATTGAAACTTCCATCAGAAATTCCAGTGGTTAAAGTGATGGAAAGCGTACCCTCAAGTACTTCCTGAGCAATTGGCACCAAGCTATGATATCTTCCGCCAACATACATTTCGCCAGCATCCAGTGTGGTCATAGTGGCTTTTTCCTGGTCCAGCATCAGCATGCACTCATCTGAAAACGCATCAAGTGCTTTTTATCGGCTGTTTGAGAAAATCCGTTATATTTTACCCTTGTTCGAGGCTTGGCTGCACTCGATTTTAGCAGTATCATATCCGACTCGGATTTGGTCTCGTTCATTGGCCTGCACGAAAGCTTCACATTTTTTCGTTTCATTCAAATTGATTGTGCACCAGATGATTTTCAGTTCTTTTGGCGACTCGCGAGCTTCCACTTGATTGACTTTCCAGTATCCTTGGGCTGAAACTAGTGAAAATTCATCTTGAGTTGGCCCTAATTGAGTGAAAATATTCGTTTTTTGGACGAGCATTGACTTGGATGGTAAAAATCAGGTCTTTGTACGATTTGACTGAAAGTTTCTGGACGTTTATATCCAAGCTTCCTCCCTCGATGAACAAAAATCCAAGTCGCTACTTATTTCGCATCAAAAGATGTGCTTTTTTAAAGGCGAGCGAGTAATTTTATGAAGACATTCATTTTTAGATTAGCATTGACTTTATTAGTAAAAATCAGTGTGTGTAACCATTTGACCAAAATTTCTGGACTTTCAGAGCGGACTGTCTCCTATACCCCCAAATTATTTTATTAAAATTAAAAATATTTTTAAATTATTTTATTTTCTCTATGCTGTAATCCGGGCAATGCCGTGTTCATACTGCGGGTGAAGAAACCAGTTAAGCCCCAAAGAGACTTCCAACTCTAACGAAAACTCTAGAAGTGAAAACCTAATGACTGGCGAATAGGATTTTACAGCATTTAACTTGATTGTTAATCTGAGGGGTTCTTTACTTGTTTTAGCGAAAAATTCGTTGGGGACCCACCTATTTAACCTAACCAAACCCTTGGTTTTCCAAATCGCTCAAAATCTACTAACCTGTTGAACATTGGAAAAGGCTGAATAGAAGTAATAGATAACAACAAAGATAAGGCCCATTAATAAAACACATTTTATTTACTTAAATTAGATAAGAATGTTAATTATTTGTTCCCTAATTGTTTATCACGACTAATTTGAAGTGTTATGACAACGTAAACAATGTCAGTTCATTCATCATTAATCAACCCCAGTGTCTTTTGATGTGGTTAGAGATGAGGAAACGGTACGGTAACCTCGCTCTTCCCTCACAACCACAGCCGTCAACCTCAAAGTTCTCAAAAAGGTTCAAAATAAACAATCGCTTGCAACATCATGTCTGCAGAGTTAATTTTCACGATATTTTACTTATTAATCAGCTTTGGAATTGTGTATCCGCCAGAAGAATTTATCAGTGCAGGATTTACGATAGGAAACTGGTTCGGCAAGCTGCTGGGTTCGGAAGATGAGAATTTTATCCGTTTCCATATCAAGAAATCTATGTTGAATTTGGTCGTTTATTCCTGTCTTCCTATTATATACGTGGCTTTGCTCTACCTATTAGGCTTTGTAGATGAGGTAAGTAAATCACTCTACACATGCAATGGAGCACACAGTGTCGAATGTTGGATCCAAATGCTTCTGAAGCTGGTGAGTTTCTCGAGTTTTTAGGCCCTCGTGGAAAACAAGTTCTTGTTTTGCACGCCGGCCTAAAACCCGACAAACTCACCAGTTTCAAGCCCTGCAGGCCGCGAAAACCCAGCTCTTTCGTTGCCTGCTGCAAACTTAGTCTCGCTTTTGTTATAAGTAAAGCACCATTAACATGAACAATCATCTAAGTATGATACGCATTTTCCTAGTTGTGGTTATTAAATGGTAAAAAATATAGGTTTATTTTGCAGATTTCCAGTTTATTTATCGGTCCCAGCATTTCCTGGCAAATATTTGCAACTTTTAGTATAGTCGCCCCACTTCTGGCTCTACTCGAAATCCACCGATGGTCTAATAACAATTTCCAAAATCACCCGATAGTGAGAAATTTAACCAAATGTTGCAACAACAACACTACATGGGAAGTTGTGGCCGCAGATGTAGAAAATGAATATAGAAGGTAATTGGAGTAGAGGCCCAAATTACAAACATGTACTTACAATAAAGAAAATGTGTTTACTCTAGACTGGAAATTGTCACTGTAAAAACGAACCCGATGACAAAAGCTGTGGTAACAGAAAACTGGATTATAAAAGTAACCCTATTGAACATGTTCTTAGCGCATCAAAGTGATGCAACTGTTAAGCTGTTGGAGGTGAACACATTCGATCTGTCCCATATAAATGCGAATATAACGCAATTTTGCAACATCGAGGTGCAAAGTGCCAGGGTGGGATCATTTATTATCAGAATAAATGCGCTGGATTTCAGGGTAAATTGTATGGAATAGGAGAAACTCACCTAAACAGTGCAACAATCATTACAGAACTTGAAAGACAAACTGTCCAGGCGAATGCAGCTGGTGTTGCCTAACAGCTTTTCCAAAAGTATAACAGAGCAATTCATGGAGGTTTTCAGGGAAACTGTGAATGAAAATCCTCGATATTCCACAAACATGGTGAGCAAAGACAATTGGGAAAAATCTATTGCATACTACATCGACTGAGTCATTTATTTAGGAACTGGATCAATGCTTAGGATGTCTCCAAGCTCGTCCAGGCATAAAAATCCAGAAACAATGTCCAGATGAAGGCATACACCCAATGGAGCAAAAGTGCACCGACTGTTTTTGCCGCCCAATGTGGTGTCTCGACTGTCTCACCAAATGGTTTGTGTCCAGACAAGATAAGGACGAGCAGAACCGCTGGCTGTCCAAAAAATGCACTTGCCCCATGTGCAGGGCGACTTTTTGCGTTCTGGACGTTTGCCTATTGGAGCAGCCACAAGAATGAACGCTTTTCGCGCTTAATTCACCAGCATTCGGCAGGTCAGTGCTTCTATCCTATTTGAGCGCAGATAACGTTTTTTTTTTATCAACGTCGCCTTTCTTTTATATTACCAAACAAAAATTAATTGCATAGATAGATATAGCTATTTTATATAAATAAAATTTTATAAACGCGGTTAACTGTTAACAAAACAAATAAATATTTTTGTGTTTAACTCCGATCAATTTAAACTGGCGCACTAAACCCATCCTGCATTCGAACATTCTATCGCGGGGTATTTTAAGAGCGTTCACTTTTCGGTCAGAAGTAGAAATCAAGTTTTGGTGGGATTCGAATGAAAATTTCGGGAGTTTTAGCTCCAACTGTTTTCTATAGGTGTTGCATGGCAAATGAGCTTTTCTGAACCGTCTTTTTGTGCTTCAAAAAATAAGGCAAATTTTATCGAATCCAGTTGCGTCGATGACTGTCCAGCTTGTACAGAAAGTTTCAATTAGTTCGTTCCACTTCTAGGATCTGATGATAAACCACAAGCCAGAAACCGTTGAAGACAAAGTCAAAAAAAAACCACGCAAATCTAAAACTTCTTGAATTCTAGCATTTTTTGAGAAAACTACCAACATTTCCCCATCCATGGTTCGCTTTCTAAAAAGGCCATTTATTTCTGTCTAGAATGATGTACAAATGAGCGTTCTTGCTCATTTTGCCTCCGAGATATGAGCAAAAACGGGACGGA